GGGGAAAGCCGTCAGTCTCTGGTGATTAGAGAGCGGTTTCCACAGTCAGACAGGCAGGACATGCCCTGTTAGCTTCAAAATAGACTATTTTTCATCTCATCTCTCCTTTCGCAGCTCCAACTACCTGGGAGATGTCAGTGACCCCCCAAGGAGAAGCCCCAAAGCTACTAGCCTGACAACACCCCACCCGTGCCTGCGGCCTCCGGAGGCCACTACTGTAGGAAAGGATTCCTCTCTCCCACCCCTCCTGGCAGGATTCCACCTCCTCCGAGCCTTTGTGCTGAGCTGATGAGCCACACATCATCCGCTAATCCAGCCTCTTCCTCGCCGCCCTCCCTGGTGGCACCAGTGTTTCATTAGCCGCCACGGTGGTAAATTGCTGGAACACTCCTATCATGACCCCTTCTCTGGGACTACTAAATGCTGCTGAGGTGGTCAGGACCCTCCGAGGACAGCCACAAGCTCAGAGCTGAGGACAGTGGCAAAGGCACTGGCACCTCTGCGAGGGGAGGGGAGCCCTGCTGGGGTCTGGTCTACGAGCTCTGGTTGGGGGCAGAGTAGATGCTGGGTGAGGGGTCCCATGAGCTGCTCTTGGCTGGAGTGACAGTCAGCCCGGGGAGAGGAAGGAGCTACTGCTGTTTGAGTCAGGGATGCAGGGTCCCAGAGGTCAAAGCTGACCATCCCAAGGTGGCCTCTGGAGGCAGAAGAGCCTGGTGACAACTCTCCCATCCTCCCTTAAACCAGGACGAGGGCCATTTCAGGCGGTTCCAAGCCCCCTCAGGACCTCTGGCTGGACTCCACCCACGAGTCAGTGCACACAGGTAGCGCTAAGCCCAGACACAGCAATGTGGGGGTGGGGTGGGGTTTGTTCCCTCAACCAGGGAGGACAACACAAGTGGAGGCCATATTAGGACCCAGGTGGGCCCAGCCCAAAGCTGTTTCCAAGTATTCAGCAATCCCTGATGGGATCCTTGGGGGTCTTCACCCTGGATCATGGCCTGCCCGAGGGACAACCCTGTGGACAGAGGCTGGCTTGCTTTGGCTCGCTTCCCACATCCGAGGCAGTGATTGCAGAGCCAGTGATGACTGGGCATCCCAGTGCTCAGCCCCTGCCCCTGGAGGGAAGAGAGTGGGGAGGGGTGCAGGAGATCCGCTCTCTACCCTCCTCCTCCTCCGTCTTCTTTGTGGTTTAATTAGTATTTCCAAGTGGTACCATCCCTCCGGGAACTAGGCAGAAAAATCCAGGAGAGAACCGCAGCTGACAATGGTTCTTAATTAGGAAGCCCCAGGCTGCGGGCGCAGAGCATGGGGAGTGGGGGTGGGGTGGGGAGGTGAGCAGCTCCCTGGGTCGCTGGCCACAGGGCCACCACAAACTCAGGGACCCCCATGTGGGGGGAGGGCAGTTTCCAGGGTCCTCACAAGTCAGGAGGGGAACGTGAACACCACCGGACTTCTTGTGCCTGTGACTGGGGGTGGCACTCCTCCCGTTCCAATGCCTGGTATGGGCAGTAGACACCAGCAGTGACAGGCATTGCTGATGAGCGCCCACAGGGTGCAAACATCGTGTGAAGCACTCACTGTTGGACTGTGTCTCCCCAAATTCATGTTGAAACCTAACCCCTGCCAAGTAGCTCAGACTGTATGTGGAGAAAGGGTCTTTACAGAGGTGACTAAGTTAGAGAGGTCATATTGGTGGGTCCTAGTCCAATCTGACTGGTGTCCTTACAGGAGATTAGGACACAGACACACACAGAGGGACGACCATGTGAGGACACAGGGAGAAGATGCTGTCTGCCAGCCAGGGAGAGAGGCCTCAGGAGGAACCAGCCTGCCACGCCTTGGAACCAGCCTGCAGAGCTGGGAGAGAACAAACATCTATGGCTGAAGATACCTAAACTGTGGGTCTTTGCTGTGGCGGTCTGAGCTAATACATAGGTCAGTTTACCTAGTCCTCACCTCCAGCCCCCGTGGGTGCTGTAGTCACCCCATTTTGCAGGAGCTGGAGGCTCAGGGGGAGGAGGTGTGTCTGTGAGATTTCAACTCAACCTTGCAAACTCCGGTACCACCAACAGATGCCAAAATCTGGTCCTCTCCTAAGGGGACGCCACCCTCCTGGCACCTGCCCCCACCACTCCTAGCTCGACCACTCACCTGCCGGCTCTCGCTCCTCCAGACACCATTGACAGTCTTGGTTGGGGCGATGGTCACCACGGGGGGCGTGCTGGGTACGCTGTGGCCCCCAGGAGGCACAATGATGGGGCCCATGGGCACCCGCTTGGGCGTGCTGGCAGGGGAACTGTGGTTGGTGGCTGGAGAGGACACAGGAGACGACTCGCTGCTCAGTGAGGACCCTGTGGGAGAAGAACACAGCAACCTGAGCAGGAGCCACACTGACGGCCACCCGCCTGTGCCAACTGAGCCCTGGGCCAGCTACCTAGGCTCCAGCTACCCCCAGGCTGGGAATGGGGCCCCTGGAGCAACCCAGCTGGGAAGCACGTGGCAAGCCCAGCCCCAAGGGCCAGGTCCACAAGCCATATGGCCTCCTGCACCTGTGGACAGGTGGATGGCAGAGAGGTTCCCTCTTAAGGCTGGGATCCAGTTGGCAGCTCAGCCTGGGCTAGCTTCCCTGTTTCTTTGCCCCATGGGCCTGGCCAACAGGGGACAAAGTGCGAGATGCCCCAGCATGGTGGCGGGAGCTCAGGCAGGGTAGGCGCCAACTGATCCTGGACCAGAGATGAAGGCAGCACCTTCCAGAACAGACGCAGAAGCCCCAGAGGAGAGCAAGCATATTTCTAGGAGCTACTGTCATGCAGCCAGGAGCCCGTGGCACCAACAATGCAAGACACACAGGCTGGGTGAGCCACCTCCCCCCGGAGAGGCAGACTCTGCACAGGAGCATGAGCAGAGGCGAGACCCAAGTTTTCTGGGTGAGCCCAGAGGCTGGAGGAGTCACAGGAGGAGGCAGTTCCCCAAGGTGCTCTAGTTGGGCTGGGCAGATGGTACTTGGTGGCGGGGGGAGGTTGGAAAAGTAAGCGTAGGAAGTGCCATTAGACGGGGCCCCACCAGGTAGGGACGCAGCACAGGGTGGCTGAGGAAGCTCAAACTACAGCTGCCCAGGGTGGACCTGAGGGAGACTTATTAAAAAAAAAAAAAAATCGAATGCATCTTTAAATTTAAAAAATTTAGGACTAATTCAGCACTTTCAAAGCAGACCAGTCAGTAGGTTTTTGTCTGTTCCCTATGTCATAAAACCATCACCACTATCTACTTCCAGAATGCTCCATCATCCCAGGAAGAAGCCCCGTATCCCACAGTGTCACCCACCCCCCAGGCTGTGCAGAGAGTGGAGCAGCCTGCTGCGGGGTAGCGGGAGCCCTGAGGGAGGAGGCTCCCCCGTTGTGCAGCAAAACTGGCCATCCGCTCAGACCAGTGGCTGTCCCCCCACCCCCATGTCAGGAGGGGACCAAGAGTGTGTTGGGGTGGTCAGTGTCCTGCTCCGAGGGTCCCCCATCCCCAGCAGACACCAGCCTCGCCTCCGGCATCCTCACCCCTGTGACCAAGGCACATCCTAGAGGAGGGGCAACTGGAGAGCACCCTTGAGGCTGGAGCTGACAGCAGGGCCCAGACCTGGGGCCCCTGGAGAGCCCTGCTCAGGCCTGACAAGGCTCAGCGACTGTATAATCACACACACGCGTCCCATGCTGGCTGGGCTGTGTTGGGGGGAGGAGACCTTCACATGCCCCCACAACTGTGGACTCAGACAGATCCGTGTTTGGCTCAGGCTCCCCAAGTCCCCTTTCTAGGCACCCAACACAGACCAGGGTAGACCCCACCTCAACTGAGAGCCACAAATAGCACCTGAATCAGTGTCCAATACAAGCCAAGATCCCCCAGGGCCAAGCCAAATAGGTGACACCCAGATTATATGACAGAAGAGGTTTATTTGGTGCCAAGACCCAGGCTAGAGAGAGGAATTAACCACACCCCAGCAGCACTGGGCACCCAGGCGCCCAAACCCCGTTTCACAGGAAGAACGAACGCTGGGGGCGGCTGTGCAGTTGGTTGGCTCAGAGGGCAGAGCCGGGACTGAACAACTCTCGTCATAAAGCTTTGCTCCAGGCAAGGTGCTCCCCCTTGGAGTGGCATGGTGCCCCCTCCCCAAGACCCAGTCCTGCCACCTCCTGAAGAAACGCCACCCAGGCCTCTTTAACATGGCTCCCTAGGCTTGTGCACAGCTTTCACAACTGTACAGCGCCCTCACAGGGAGACACCCACCCAGTCCAGCCAGACCCACCCCCCCCACAACCCCACAGGCCACACCCAGCAATTCAGCAGCACATTCTTCCCGGTGACCCCAAGGCGGTGCACAGCCAGGAACCCACCTTGTTCGTGTTCCCACCCACTGGGGCCAACCCCATCAGGCAGTGAGGCCTGAGGGCCTCTGCCTCAGAGGTGTGACCCTCCAATTCCCCAGATGGACCGATAGCCACTGCCAGCACCTCGAGTCAGCTGGGCTGAGGTCTGGGTCCTGGCTCTGCCACCATGGCTCAAGCAAGCCGTGCGCCTCAGTCAGATGGAGAAGCTGCATCAGCACCCATTGGGGGAGTGCCACCGGGGGATGAGTGTTAGCAGGAGCCGCTGAAGCTGCGACAAGCTGGGCTTGGCCAAGTCAGTGAGACACCCACTCCCCCCGCCCACTGCAGCTGGTTTCAGGGACACTATAGGAGGCAGGCCACAGAGCTGATCCAGCTAGGCTGGGGACTGACCCCAAGATTCTGGAATGGCCCTGGAGGCCAGTTGGCTACCATCCACTCTGATAATCCCAACGAAGGGAACTGCCCACTGTGAATGGGCAGTGCTTGGCACCCCGAACCCTCACCCAGTGCTGGGGGAGCAGCCGTCTGCACAGCCCAAGAATATGAGCCAGCACCGCACTCCTGGATACGTCCCAGCAAAACTGAACCACAGAGGGCTCATGTCCACCGAAGACACACACAAGGAGGTTCACGCAGCCCCGACCTGCAGCTATGCCCGTGCGATCCACAGCAGAACACACAAAGCCCTGCACGTCCCGGATGGAGCCCCACGGCGCGCCATACGCAGGAATCGCACAGACCCAAGAGCAGCACTGCGCAAGGCCTACCATGTCGTTCGGAAAGACACAAAATATTCCGACAGGGTTAGAATCTAGACAGCCCTACCCAAGGGCAATGGGAGGACTGGCCTCGGGTGGTCTCCCAATCGGCGGGTTCACACTGAAGATTCGTGAGCTAGACTTTGATGGTCTGTGCACTTTCCTGTATGTATTTAGATTTTGATAAAAAAGTCCACTTTAAGTTAAAAAAAAATACAAGGGAAGGGGTCTTTATCTGTAAAAAAGGAATTTCCATGGAATCTCTACTCCCCATTTTGGTGGTAACAGTGCTGATTAGATAAGTCCACTTTAAGTTAAAAAAAAATACAAGGGAAGGGGTCTTTATCTTTAAAAAAGGAATTTCCATGGAATCTCTACTCCCCATTTTGGTGGTAACAGTGCTGATTAGATGTCATTCTCGTACCACACGACTGACCTGTATATCAAGTATATGTTCAACGGTTTTCAGTATATTCAGAGCTGTGCAATCATCACCACAATCAATTTTAGACCATTTTTATCACCCCCAAATAAACCCTGCACCCACAAGCTGTCACTCCCTATCTCCTTCCTCCCAGTCTTAAGCAACTGCTAATCTGCTTTCTGTGCCTATAGATTTGCTTGTTGTGGACATCTCACATGCATGGAATTGTATGTATGTGGTCTCTGTGCCTGGATCCTCCCACTTATCATCAGGTGTCCCAGGCATGTCCTGGCTGCAGCACAATTCAGGACCTCACCCCTTCTCCCAGTGAGTAACACCCCATCACTCGGACTCAGTCCATCTAGTCTTCCACCCCTCACGGGCGGACACTGGGGCTGGGTCCACCTTTCAGCTGCTGTGCAGATGCCATGCCCACCATTCTTCCTAGAGCCCGTCTTCCACCCAACCTGGGGCCCAGGGCCACCCCGGAAGACCTCCTGTGTGCCCAGTCCAAGCCCGGGCTGTCCCTGTCTGGACCCTAGTACCCATGGGTGAAGGGAATGTGGGTGTTTGTGCTCTGGAGCTGAAACCAAGAGCCACCACCCTTCCAAGGCAGGAAGAAAAGTTGAGGCCAGAGGCCTGGGGCTCTGGGTGCTCCCTGGGGGGCCAGGGGAGGTGGGTAGCAGATGCTCTAAGCTCTGTTATAGGCCAAGCCCCAGGGAGCCTCACGTAGACTCCTCTGCATCCCAACTTCACAAACAAGGAGAACTTGACAGCCCTCACCACAGGGGTGCATAGAGACATGGGCAACCTGGCTCCGCGCTCTTCCTGCCTCCGCGCTCTTCCTGCCTCAAACCCCATCCCCAGAGCAGCCCCTCCCTGCATCATCAGCCATACACTGGTCATTATTCCCGTGTCTCTCTGAATTGGCCTCACTGCCAAGTGCCAGTGGGTGAGGAAGCAGGAGGGGCAGCAGGGCAAAGGGGGACGGGGCAGGGTCTTGTCTGGGGCCAGGGACGAGGGAGGCCATCGACAATTAGTGGCCTAACCCCCTTGGAGGCAGGAGCCGGTACTCACCAGTGAGAGCAGCAGCAATCAATACCCTGACAACGCGCCGCCAATTAGCAAGGCTGGCGCTGGGCTCCGGAGCCCTCCTCCTCGCTGCGTGGCTGGAGCAGGAAGGTTTGTGATCACTGTAATTAACTGGCGCTATTCAGCCAGGAGTTAGTCAATGAAACGGATCCGGATTGGAGATGACAAGAGGCAGAGTGCATCCGCGTCACCTCTGCTGTCTGACCTCGCAGATTAGCACCGAGGCCGCCAGGCAAATGTAATTAACAGCTGAGACCCCAAAGTCAGCCAAGGGAGCTGATCGGGGATGAAAACAGGACTGCAAAATCACAGCAGCACCTGTCAGCTCTCCCAGATGTGGAATTAACCAGCCAGGCAAACAACTACTGGGCACCAACAGCATGCCCTTAACAATGAAGCCCCGTGCCAAGTTGCCAGACCACTCTCTGGGCACACTGGAGTGTCGCGAGCAAGGCCTTGTCTTGGTCAGGCCCCACAGCTGCTCAAGGCTCAGGGTAGGCAGCCCCTGCCCACCTGGAGCCCAGCCCTGCTCTGAGTCAGGCTGGCAGGCTCAGGGAGCAGCAAGAAGCAGTCACGAGAACGGCGGCTTGCTGACACGCTACTCTAAAACAGGACCCTTGGACTTATAAGATGCCAGCCCCTTGGCCAAGGCCGCCCAGAGCGTGGCAGGGCCAACCCTAGGGATAGCTGTTGATGGAGAC